TCGAGTTGCAACCAGAGTCACGGAATGGATTAAGTTCGTAACTAGAGGTACCACTATAGCTACACAGGTTTCCATTTTATTTTGTATCCAATAAATACTGTCAATGTTAATTTTATACCTTTCTATGGTTCAGAACTAGGATATGAAGGGCCATTAACCCATTCAGATTGTAGGCCTTTTTGTCTGTCCCAACAATCTCTGCTAAATGCACAGATACAGACTAGAGCAAAGCTTTTTTTCAGTGGCTATGGAAGACCCTTCTTTCCTCTTTATAATGGCTTTCTACTAGCATAGCATTTTCCTTTTTTAAGACATAAAGCAACTGCTTCCTTCTAGAAATGATTTTAACTCACTTATATGATTACAGAAAATTGATGATATAGAAGACCAATTTTCTGGCCAGACTTCCTCCTGAAATAACGGAATCTGTCAGGATCTGAGCGGATGGGCTGGCAGAATAATTGGCAGCAGCAGCAGCAGGGCCCTAAAATGGTCAGGGGCCTGAGTGGGACAATCAGGTGCTGTGGCAGAAAGAACCTGTAATCATAACAAAATGGGCGAGACAACTGACAACAATGGAAGGCCCTGGTTTGACAGAAGGAACGGGGGGAATGAGAGCAGCACTAAGTAGGCCCTAGGAGAATTGGTGAGTCCATTGGGAAGGCATTGGGATAATCAGGGGAGGGGATGGACAGACTGGTAGGAAATTCAATAGCAAAATCAGGAAGGCCCTTGGAAAATATGACGATGGGTGGGCTAGCAGGATGCCTGATGCATACTTTTATATGCTGGGTTTTTCATGCATGTGCAAAGTATCTTTCAGATTTAATGGTCTTTTGGGTTTAACAGATACCACTTTCACCCAAATGGTCCATGAAATCAAGGTTTTACTTGCATTTTCTATTTTTATCTTTCTGTTGCTTTATGTTTCAAAGATTGATTGTCAATTTCTTTCTTTAAAGGTTACTATTTAACTAAGGGCCAAGTTAATATATACAGGTAGTCCTCACTTAACAACACCAAATGGAACCAGAAACTCCATCAAGTGATGCAGTTGTAAGCTGAAAAACCATTTGACCATGCCACTTAGCGATGGCAGTTCCAGCAGTCCCAGTTGCCATAACTAAGCAAGGACCTCACATCTCTGTAACTTACGACTTCCTGCTGGCTTATTCATTGATTTTTCTTGTCAGAAGATGGCAAGGAAAGTTGCAAATCATGATCACGTGACCACAGGGACACTGCACTGGCTGTACACGCAAAGACTGGTCGTAACTACCACTTGTTCAGCACTGTTGTAAGTTTGAATGGTCACTGATTGAATGGTCATTAAACGAGGACCACCTGTATTATATTAATCATATTGCTTGCCATCAAAGGCAAGCAGGACCTTCGTCTGGATCAAGACTGAGCATATAGTGAGGGCTCAAGCCACAGCAGGTGACAAAGGGTGGAATGCACTGTATCCAGAGAACTACGTTAGGCTATTTAGACAGAAAAAAAAAATGCATTCAAAAATAAACTTCATGATTGACCTAAAATACAGTTTAGACTTTACGTTCTTAGCCACCATGGGTTCACTGACAAAAGGCATTTTTTACTGAAAAAAGAGAAGCACTATAATAAATAACATTTAAACAGTAAACACTAAATAGTGCACAAGTAAAAACAACACTTCCATTAAATCTTAAAGAAGTTTTAAATCAGATTGTTCAGCACAGTTCTCCTCATGTAACATACTCTCAAATGTAATTTACTTTACAGCTCATTCTCACTCTAGAACTGAGAATGAACAATTTCTTCCCAGTATCAAAGACCAAGAGTAGTTCCATGAAACATTTTAAATAGTTTCCTTCTGCAAGTACCTGAATGCACTATGATAAACTTACAAAATCTTCAGCTTCAAATTGTTTGGGTTCTTCCTTGCCTGTCTTTTTCAAAGTCTCACATTCAGATGCTTTGTTTTCCTGCGATCCTTGGCTTTTTACAGACTGAAAGCTCCTGGTGCGAGCACGTGAACCTCCATTATGATATCCTGCTCTATAGTTTGAATTTTCTGTTCCATTTCTGCCTTGTGAACGCCAACCATTTCTTTCTTTTCTTCCTGAATGCCCTTGAATAAGATTTAGAAATTAAAATCAAATTGCATGCTGTGCTGCACAGAGTTTATTACAGGAAAATATAAATACAACATGTTAACTGAACATTTTAAACTAGTTCAGGCTAATAACTGAATCTACTTTACTTATACAAATTGAGCCTTTGGACAATATATATCTCTCCAATGACAGCATGTAAGTTTCCAGAAAGGAGCAAGGAACAATAAAGATACTTGTACAACCATAATATAATAAGCATAATGCATCTACTGGTTTTAATGTGTTGCAGAGGACTCACAACTATGCTAACAATATTTCTTTACTTAAATACTAATAGGTGGAATGAATAAACTACTTAAATATTGACTCTATATAGAAATAAAATACTTTCATGCCTTATTCAAAGAAAAAAAATTACAAACAAACCTCCATTTGAACGGCCACTGTTAGGATCCAATCCATCAGAAGAGTTATGCCGTCTACGATTAATTTCATAACGATTCTCTGTCCACGAAAAGGTGCTGGAATGTTTCTCAAAATTCAGTGATGACTAAAGGTGAAGACAAAAATTATACGGTGATAGTATCAACAGCACCAAATTAATCAACACAAATAATATCATGTAAATTTGCAGAGGACTGTAACCTAGTTTCAATACCCAGCTATTCTAGTGAAATCTGACCCTTACCACATAAATATTATCAGATTAAAAAAAGGAGGTTAAGCTGTAAAATATACTACCTCCATTCAAATATTCAAACCACACTTTAGACAGCTATTGTAATGTCTTATACTCTAGCATAAGTCATTCAACCATAACCCTATATGACATTAAAAAGTTAAAAATTACTGTTGAAAAACTGCTAATAAAAAGCTTTATTATGAACTATGTTAGGAACTATTATATTATCTGAAATAATATAAAAAATTGGCATACAGAACAGAAGACACAAAAGGTTTCAAGCAATTAAGAGTTTTGAGAAGGAGGGAAGATTTAGATGCTGAAACAATGGATGTTAGAAAACCATAAATTTAGAATATATTTCTTAGCACAAATAGAATTTTAAAGATACTTTAGGTGTAAGGATGCAGAGATATGCCTACAAAGACATATTTGTAGGAATACGTGAACATAATTTTATTTACACTAATTTATCTTAAATATGAAAATTGACAACTCTGTTTGAAAAATACTTTTTTTTACTAAAAAGTAAATCTTATGTTACCTACTGATGACTAACCAACTAAATATAAAGCATAAATTATTGGGTTAATATTTCATTGGACTACTAAGTGACCAGAGGCAGAGAGACAGTGGGCTCTCCAATGGAACAGCTCAGCCTTCTATTTCTTTTTTGGATCAGACTATAAGCACTATCTTACCAAAGAAGCTTTGGAATACTGATATTCAGGGTTTACAATGCCAATGTACCCTACCTCAGTACAACACATCGTACCGTGGAGAAAACACTGTATGTATATAGCACTTCTTGCTAAGAAAGCAACATGTTTCACTCCAACATTTTGATTAGGAGGATCAAGGCAGCACAGATCTGAATTGATCACTTTGCTTTGATGTGCAAAGAAAAACATTGGAGCTACCTCCAGCAGGGCGCCATGGCACTTTGTGCAGTAGCTTCAATTTGTGCTTAAATCAAGACTTCAATCAAACCAAAATGTCCCATTGAGATTTTGCACAGCTGAGGACTTCCAGGGGAGGTATGACAAACTGAAGATGGCTCTGCAAAAGTGGAGCTGATAACTGTTGCAAAGACCAAGGATCCATTGAGACTAGTTCCCTGTAACCTCTCTGAATAAGGAGAGGATGGGAGATTGCTCACACGTGCTCTAGACAGCTACTCCTCACAAGGAGACCGCAGGACAGCAGTTTTCCGTGGGTTTGAGTGCCGGGAGACCACAGAATCAGCCACCTTGTTCACAACCGTGGCAGAGACTTTTAAAGGGCACTAAGATTGCAAACCTCACTTTCTAATCACTCTCAGAAATTGCCTATTAACTATTTTAAAGCTATTACAGACCTTTGGAACGATAGGTTTAAAAAGTCTTCATTGGGTGAGTTTATCTTCAACTCTGAACAAAAGAAAAATTAATTACAAGCTTAAGAACTTAAAGAATTTGAAATAATCAGCAAAAAGCTAAATAAGATTTTGATATAACAAAGTTATAAATGGATTACGGGTCCAGATAAATTTGGAGTATTGACTTTTACTATAAGACTTTGGAATTAACTATAAAAAATAAACTTTTCATGGGAAACAGACTTATTTTGGTTATCCTGGCAATTGCAAGTCAGAACAAAAAATAAGTGATTTTAGAAACTGGACACTAGATCCTCTTGGGACTAGTGGATAAACAGTTGAAAAAAGTCATAGAATATTGTTTTTATATGATAACTGCAGCAAGATTATTGTGTACACACAGTTTACAAGATCTGGCAGTATCTACGACAGAGGAATGGTTGGTGAAGATGACAGAACTTGCTGAAATGGCCAAACTGACTTGTTTGATTAGAGAAAAGATAATATCTACATTTACTGGTGACTGGAAATCTCTTTTGGACTTTCTGAGTAAAAAAAGAAAAAATGAACTTATGATTTATGGTTTCGATGATTAGATAGAATAGATTATAGAAAGAAGAGAGTCACGATGTAACTTTAGAGAGGCCAATTTATAATTGTACTTATAACTGCTGTAAAGAAGATCAGAAGTCACTTCTTTATGTCTTTTTTCTTTCTTTTCTATTTTTCTGCTACTTTTTCTTTTTACACCTTTAGTTTTTTCTTTCTTTTTAGTTTTTCTTTCTTTTCTCTTTAAAATTTTCAATAAATTATATTAAAAAAAAGAAACTGGACACTAGAGGGGACTAAAGATATTAAGCATAAGGAAAAAAACACACAAAGCCTGATGTCAGTTAATACTGCGACTTACAGAATGATACAAAACATTATAACATCGGAAATATCAAAGATCTTTGAAGAATGGAGCCAGAAGTTAGCAACTACAATATCAATGCTGTCAGTAATGATGTCTGCTTCTATGGATAGACTATGTCTAAAAGATGTT